AAAACTCCAGCACCTCAACAACAAAAAGACAAATAATCCAACTAAAACAAGGGCAGAAGACATGAATAAAGACTTCACCAAAGAGGATATTCAGGAGGCCAACAAACATATGAAGAAATGTTCACAATCATTAGCCATTAGAGAGATGCAAATCAAAATAACAATGAGATACCATCTTGCCCCAGCACTAGTAGCAAAGTTCAACAGGACAGAAAATAACAAATGCTGGCAAGGATGTGGAGAGACAGGGACTCTCATACACTGCTGGTGGAACTGTCAAATGATACAACCATTGTGGAAAGCAGCATGAGGATTCCTTAAAAAGTTGGAATTAGAATTGCCATTTGACCCAGCCATTCCATTGCTAGGTATATATTCTAAAGAACCGAGAACCAGGAGGAGAACAGGTATATGCATACCCATGTTCATCACAGCACTATTTACAATAGCCAAAAAATGGGAACAACCTAGGTACCCATCAACAAAAGAATGGATAACCAAACTATGGTATATACACCCAATGGAATACTACGCAACCTTAAAGAATAAAATAGAACCTGCAAAACACTGCATAACATGGATGAACTTGGAGGATGTTTTGCTGAGTGAAATAAGTCAATCACAGAAGGACAAATATTGTATTAGTACATTAATGTAAAAAGTCAGGGAAAGATTTATATATGGAAGGGAATTTTCTTTGTTGGTTACCAAGGGTGGGAGGGGAGGAGAAGGGAGGGAGCACTGTTAGACAGGTAGAGACAAGTATTGATTTGGGTGAAGGGAAGGGCAATATACAAATATGAGTAATCAACACAATGGCACTGAGGAAGAGGAAGCCATAGAGAGATTCATGGAAGGTACAGATAACAAAGATGAACCCTTTTGCACGTAGGGTACTGTGTTGTCAGTGAAGGCAAACATGGATATATGGGTTGATAGATGGGTGGACAGGCTGAACTATTAGGTATGGCTCTGCAGAGGGGAGTATGCTCAAGACCACGTATAGTGTTGGCAGACAATATTTCTACAAGTGTATTGGTATGTTCAGTAAGAATTCCCAGGTATATAGTAGAGCTGACAAGGGACAAGGTTGTAGTCACTTCTTGGCCACAGCCAGCTACCCAGAGGGAGTGCACAGTTGGACCTGTGGGCTCAGGACCATAGTCACAGGGGACATCAAGCTCAATTGGCATAACATACTACACAAAACATTTTTCCACAACCTACTTTTGTGAGTAGCAACCGGGATCTTAAAAGCTTGCAAGTAGCCACCTAGATGCAACAATGGGTCTCTCCTCATCCAGGGAAAAGAAGAATGAAGAAAACTAAAGACACATGGAAAGAATTAGTCCAAGAGACTGGTACAACATGCGATCCTCAGTCTTTACAACTATGAGACCAGAGGACCTAGATGGTGCCCAGCTACCACTGTCAATCACTAGGAGGGGGATCTATGTAGGAGATCCTGGATAGAGTGGAAGAACAATGTGGAACAAATCATTTAAAAAAAAAAGGGGGGGACCAGGTTTGCTGGTCTGATAGAGCCTGGTGGAACCCCTGACACTATGGTCCCTAGCTGCCCTTTAGATCTGGAATTGAACCCACACCTGTGGCTTCCAGTCAAACAAAAGATAGCCATATGAGTTGAACATTTACCTGAGGTAGACAGACTCCTTGGAGAGAACAATCATTGAGAAAGAAGGGCTGCCTATACACAGGGAGACAGCACGAGGGGCAGGAGTGTATGGAAGGATGGACACAGGGAAGAGGTAACTATGGGGAGGAAGGGGGAGGGGTAATGTTGCATTGTGGTAAATTGTAGTCAATGTCATGAGACAGTGTAGGTGACCTGCTGTATGGAAAGTGAATTTGCTTTGTAAACTTCCACGCAAATCACAATTAAAAAAAAGAAAGAAACAAAGAAACAAAGTCTGGCCATTCTCACTTCTAAGGAGAATTCTAGCTGTACTTCTAAGACAAATTATTAATTCAGTTTTCTGGTAGTCCATGGTATATTCAATATTTTTCACCTACACAGCTCAAATGCATCAATTACTCTGGAGTCTTCCTTATTCATTATCCAATCCTCACATACATATGAGGCTACTGAAAAGACAATGGCTTGGTTCATGTGTGCTTTAGTGTTCAAGAGACATCTTTGCTCCTTTACACTTTGAAGAGGTCTTTTGCAGCAGATCTACCCAATGCAATATGTCCTTTGATTACTTGACTGTTGCTTCTATGCACATTGACTATGGATCCAAGTAAAATGAATCTGTGACAACTTCAAAATTTTCTCTGCTTATCATGATGTTGCGTATTTGTCCACTTGTGAGGATTTTTGTTTTCTGTATGTTGAGGTGTAATCCATACTGGAGGCTCTAGTCTTTGATCTTCATTAACAAATGCTTCAAGTCTTCACTTTCAGCAAGGAAGGTTGTTCAACTGCATATCACAAGTTGTTAATGAGTTTTCTTCCCATCATGATGCTGCATTCTTCTTCATCTAGTCCAGCTTGTTCCATTATTTGCTCAACATATACATTACACCACCAGCTTCTGGTTAGCAGTCAAATGCCTTAGGCACTATGCCACCAGAGGCCTATACATTGAATAAGTATAGTGAAAGGTTACAACCCTGACACACACCTCTCCTGATTTTAAACCATGCAGTATCCCATTTTTCTGTTTGATTGACTGCCTCTTGGTCTATATACATTTTTTTAATGAGCACAATTAAATATTATTGAATTTCCATTCATCACAATGTTATCCATAATTTGTTATATTCCACACAGTCAAATGCTTTGCATAGCCAATATAACACAGATAAACATATCTCTGGTATTCTTTGCTTTCACCCAAGATCCTTCTGACATCAGAAATTATGTCCATCATAATATGTCTTCTTCTGAATCTGGGTTGAATTTCTGGCAGTTCCCTATTGATGTACTGCTGCAACAGTTTTTAAATTATTTTCAGCAAATTTTACTTGTGTGTGATAGTAATGATTTGTTTGATAATTTCTACGGTTTGTTGGATCACCTTTCTTTCTGATGGACACAAATACAATGATTTGGACAATCATTGGCCAAATTTTTTTGTCATAAATGAGGGAGTGCTTCCAGCATTGCATCTCTCTTTTTTTTTTTTTTTTTTTTTAAGTATCTCTAGGGGTAGCTCGTCAATTCCTGGAACCTTTCTTTTTCACCAATACCTTCAGTGCAGCTTGTATTCCTTCCTTCAATACCATAGATCCTTGATCATATGCTACCTCCTGAAACAGTTAAATGTTAACCAATTATTTTTGATACAGTGACTGTGTATTCCTTCACCTTCTTTTATTGCTTCCTGCACTGTTCAATATTTTACCCATAGAGTCTTCAACTCAAGGCTTGATTTTTTTCCTTCAGTTCTTTGAGTTTGAGAAATGCCAAGCATATTCTTCTGCCACTCATCTTTCAGTTTGTCGTACTATCCTGGTTTTCATATTGCTATCTATGATACTGGAAGCTTTGGCACTGGTATTTCCAATACCAATAGGGTCTGGCATGGTGGACAGGTTTAGTGGAGCTTCCAGACTAAGACAGACTACAAAGAAAGAAGAGTCTGTGCACTTCTGGAAAAATTGACCACTGGAAACTTACTGAATAGCTCTGGAGACTTGAAATCCATCTGTGGGGAAAACCAGAGAAAGATGAGGTCCAGGAAGCTTTCCTGGAGGTGAGCATATGTGAGTTGAGCTGGTTGGCACAGAAAAGTCCCCAGGAGCATGACCAGAACTTAACCCCTAATTATAAATAGGGCGCACTGTGCCTGCGCTCCACTGCACTTCTGGGCTCTGCCAGCCTACAGGCAAAAGTCTAATGTCCAGTAGATGAAAAAATCTGACAGCATAAAAGGAGAAAAACAAAAATTCACAGTGATATTGGGGAACTTTAACAATAGTTTTTTTAATGACTCATGGAATAAGGAGACCAATTTTGAAATAAATAATTAACAAAATGAGCAATTGACA